TCAAATTTTATACAGTTAAAACAAGCATTTTAATTCATATGGTAATTTTTACAACGGTTTAATATTTAACCTAACATTTATACGAACAAAATTAATTCTTTTTATATTTCAAAATAGTTTGTGTTAATTCGCTGTACGTACAGCAAAATATATATTGTTATAAAAGCAACTGGTGTTGTGCATATTTTTAAATTCTGGATAAAAAATTAAATTAAACATACGTGGTTTTTATTGTGCTTTTTATACACGTCAAAATATTTTTCAATACCGTTTGATAGAGAGTTATCTCGTGGTCTAAAAGGAATTTTTAAGAATGTCAATTATAAACTTGTGTATAGTGCTAATAATAAGATACAACAATTATTAGGTAATCCAAAGAATAAAACACCTCAACTGGAAAGGTCGGGTATTTATAAAATTTCTTGTAAAGGTTGTAATCAGAAATATGTTGGGCAAACTAGAAGATCAATATTAAGTAGATTTAAAGAACATTTAGCTCAGATAAGATATGGTAGACCGGATAAATCTTGCGTTGCCGAACATATTGTTGATAAAGAACATTGTATATATCTTAATAATTTAAAATTAATTGGGGGAGCAAGGAAGGAGCCTCCACGTGTGTATTTTCGCAGCAGCCAAACAATAAGCTAGAAAATGCCGGCGCCCCCTGGTAACGATGCCCGCAAGGACATCGGCCAATCCTTCCACCACCGGAACCCAATAGAAGCTAAGAACAGAAACAAAAGGCACTGCTCAGAGCCATCTCTGACAATTGCTAGCCTGAACGTCGAAGGATTTACCCGGAACAAACAAGACCTGATCTCCCAACTATGCCAAATTCACAAATGGGACATATTATGCCTACAGGAAACGCATAGAGATGAACAAGCGCACAGGCCTAAAATAGAAGGAATGCGACTCGCTATCGAGGCACCACACAACAAATACGGCAGTGCAATCTTCGTCAAGCCCGACACTAACTTAACCCCCACAGGCAAAACTGTAATGAATGGAACCGAGATTCTCACTATAGAATGCGGACCTTTCACGGTTACATCAGTCTACAAACCCCCAGGTGAAAAAACCGAACTTAATATGCCAGGAAACTTCGGAAGCCAAAAAACCCAATTTATCATAGGCGACTTCAACTGCCATAGTATTAACTGGGGTTATACAGAAACCGACGCGAACGGCTGCATCTTGGAGGGATGGATGGAAACAAGAAACTTCCAACTGCTGCACGACTCAAAGCTACCTTGCTCCTTTATGAGCAAAATCTGGAAGCGAGGGTTCAACCCAGATAACTGCTTTATCAGCAGTAACATCGAAGACTGTTGTGTCAAAAATGTCTATGAAGCTCGAAGGTTTTCTCGGCTGTGAGATCTGCCACGGTACCCTTTCGTAGAAGATTCAACTTCAGAAAGGCTAAATGGGCGGACTTTACCGAGGCATTCGATAAGGCAATTAAAAAGGTCGACGCTACACCTAATCACTACACGGACTTTGTGGACACTCTGCGCAAAATATCAAGAAAACATATTCCAAGAGGTTGTAGACAAAACTTTATCCCAGGGCTTATTAGTAACACGAAGGACATACTAACCAAATATGAAGAGCTATATTCCAAGGACCCCTTTAGTGATGAAACAATAACATGCGGAACAACTCTGATGACCACACTTAGCGAGACAAGACAAAAAAAGTGGATAGAGTCCCTAGAAAGGATGGACATGAAACACAGCAGTAAGATAGCATGGAACCTCATCAAGAAACTTGATGGTGACCCCAAACAAACCCAGGAACCACCCAAAGTAACAGCCAATCAAGTAGCCCACCAACTCCTCCTAAATGGAAAGCCCACGACAAAAGGTCAGAAAGCACGACTGCATCGAGATATACGCAGTGAAAATAGATATTTTGGCTCTCCTTTTACAATAAAGGAACTCAACGATGGCATAAATACGCTGAAAAACGGGAAAGCTGCCGGAGTCGATGATATGTGCGTCGAACAAATCAAACATTTTGGGCCAGACACAAAACAATCGCTCTTACAACTCTTCAACCATTGCCGAGAGAATTTCAGGATACCAAAGCTTTGGAAAAAATCAAATGTAGGTGCCTTCCTAAAACCAGGGAAAGATCCCAACTCTGCGAATAGCTACAGACCAATCTCGCTGCTGTGTCATCTATTTAAACTATATGAAAGACTGATACTAAATCGAATTAGCAACGTCGTCGATTCAAAAATCATACCCCAACAGGCTGGCTTCAGACCTGGGAAATCATGCACCAATCAAGTCTTAGCGCTCACAGAGCATATAGAAAAGGGATATTAAAAACAAAGTAGTTACGGGGCTGGTCCTTGTCGACCTAACCGCTGCCTACGACACCGTCAACCGCCGCAAAATGCTGTCAAAAGTATATAACACAACAGGAGACTACCAATTAATGAAGATAATAGAATCACTCCAGCAAAACCGTCAATTCTATGTCACCCTTGAAGGGAAAAAAAGCCGCTGGAGATACTAAAGAAACGGCCTAGCCCAGGGAAGCGTGCTGGCTCCGATTTTGTTTAATATCTACACCAACGACCAGCCAGCACCGGAAGACACAAAACACTTTGTATACGCTGATGAGTTCATCAGCCGTAATGCCGTAGGTGAGCCGTAATGCCAAGGTCATCATAAGCCGTAATGCCCAGGCGGGCATTACGGCTCAAGGAAGAACCTTTGAAGAGGTTGAAGCAAGGTTAGAGAGAGCTTTAAACGCCATGTCTGCTTACTATGAGCTGAACTCCTTAAAACCAAATCCTTCCAAAACACAGGTCTGTGCTTTCCACCTTCACACACGACTAGCAAACCGCAAACTTAAGGTCGATTGGAACGGAGAGACCCTGGAACACACAAATAAACCTGTGTACCTTGGAGTCACACTCGACAGATCTCTAACCTACAAACACCACTGCGAAAAAAAACGTCAAAAAGTGGCTGCGAGGAACAATATATTAAGAAAACTAACCCACAGTAAGTGGGGTGCTAAACCTGATGTTCTAAGAACGACGGCACAAGCGCTATTTTTCTCCACAGCCGAATACGCCTGCCCTGTCTGGTCTAGTTCTAACTCACGTAGGGAGGCACATGAATTCAGCGAGAAGTTTAAAAAAAAATTCGACAATCGTCATCCACTTTTCGGGCAATACCAAGAATCTAAAAGACTAAAATCCAGACGACGATTTCTCAGCAGCCCCCTGGATGAACCACCCACAAACTATCCTCTGTCAGAAAGCCTGCCGAGTGATACCTCGTCCAACTTTAAAACCTGGAGAATGTCGAACCGCATAAGAACAGGAGTTGCTCCGGTAAAAACCAATCTGATCAGATGGGCTTTGCGCAACCAAATGAAGACAAATGTGACTGTGGGATGACACAAGATATGGAACACCTTCTAAAGTGCGTTAATTGTCCTGCACATTGTAACTCCGACGATTTATGGCAAAGCAAACCCGAAGCATTGGACGTGGCTCAATATTGGGCCGAGAAAATATAGAATGTTCCGGACATGAACAAGTAAAGTAAGTAAAATTAATTAAACAAGTCTCAAATTACAGGCAATTATATGCATATGAAAGCATCAGAATTAATAAATGTAAATATATTATGAACAGAGACAACGGTCCAATTCCTTCAAGTCCTTTGTTCCTACTACTCTAGTGGCGGAAATCTAACTGTTACGCTCGGTGGGCTCTGACTCGGTTGGCTAGATCTTGCCACGCCCACTCGGTGCCCACTGAGCGAGTATATAAACGTTCAAATTGTAGATTGTAGTTCAGTTTATAATCATCTGCTGATGATGCTAACATGGTTAGCGAAACGCGCGTCCAGTGTAAAAGTATTTTGGTGTATTGTGGTGATTTATTTAGTATTACGAAGCGTTTTTGAATAGTATGACACAAACATTTTTCTGCGAAAATGCATAATTTTCAGTTTCTCAACTTTAGAATAGCTGAAACCAGTTACATGAAAACACGTTTCTGTTTTTCATTCTATAAATTTTTCTAAACATAGACACGCAAAAACATTTCTTGAGCAAGTGTACCATTTTTATTTATTGATAAAATATATTGTAAAATATAGCAAGATTTGAAAAGTACTAGGCTCGGCTATTAGAATTTCTAAATAGACGAGTTTTAGCTTACAGCGTTTTTTGATTGCCTTGGTTAGGTTTGTTTTGGTTTGGTTTAGTTTGTTGGTTCATTTGTGTTTATTTTCGTCTTTTTCTCGGTACGGTATTCACAATTCCTACTGTCTCAATCAATCATTTAAATTATTTTTATACAATTGGCTAAAACCTTACTTCTTCAACTTTGTAAAACGACCCTGGGTTATTATACTACACTGGTGCCAAAATGCTTAGAATTTCTGATCACAAATCCAAGCATCTTATAAGCCTTGTTAACAATACTTGTAAAATGATAATTAAATTTCAAACTGGCTTGTGAACCATAGATCTGTACATTTAGTTAAGTTAGTAAGTTTTAAACGGTAAGTTTTAAGAAACTTAAAAAAAGCCTAACAAGCCGACACATAAATGTAGAGATAAAATTACTGTACACTTGAAACATCACAAAGCGTGTTTTATGAAAAAAACTATTATTTATAGAATTTATTTTGCTGTTTGGTTATTAATCCCTATCAAAAGATATAAGTCCAAATAAACCTAATACGGTATTAGGTTTATTTGGATCAAAAAAAAACGGCGTCTAGTTGGCTTAGAAATAAACATCGATGACATTCCCCATATAATTTTATATACAAAATGACAGCGATCTTCATTTCATAGCCAGCGCTGACGCCGTTTTTTTTTGATCATACGATAATATAATAAACTTACTTTAATACACTGTTTATTTCTCCACAAACAAAGATAATAAAACTAGAAATATCGGCAAGGACGAAACAGGGAAATGTAACTAAAACGTATCGCTTTTGGCTTTGTTTCAGAAAAAGATCCTTATCCGGTTGACGCGTTGCCAACTTGCACCCACGCCCACTACGTATGTCAGCAGGAGCCCAAATGCATAAAGCTCTACGAGGACTTTAAGGCCCACTGCAAAGTTAGAGATAACAAATGCCGGATGGAGGATAGGTATGTCAATTTTATTATCTTTAATTCTCACTGGTTTAATTTTTTTCTGATTATATTTTTTATATTTTATTCTTTAATATTACTATTTTATTTTTTTTATATAATATTTATTTATTGTGCTTTTAATTTAATCATAACTTGATCAGTTTTTTACTATCTGGCAGGCGGGACGTTGAAAAACGCGGGGGCCATAGTATTTAAGAAGTTTTTTTAATTATAATTGGCCATTCCTACTGTTGGTTTTGATATATTTAATTTTTTATTACATTACATTTTTTACACATTTTTATTTTATATATGCTCTATTTCCTTACCCTATTATTTTCTCTTTCAGGTCTTATATTAGAATTGTTATTAAATTTTCAACTATATTATACAGGGTGGTCGGAACTGTATTCCGGAAACTTCGGCAGCATGTTCTGTAGATAAAAATAAGTAATAAAGTTCGTATAAATGTATGTCCTAAAATGCTTAGTTTCGGAGATACAGGGTGTAGAAGTTTAATTTTTATTTCGATTTTTCCAAATAATTTCTGAAGTAACGTCAATATTTGGATGAAAATTGGTGTCTGGGAGTTTTTTGACATGAGAATTTTGATTTTGGTGTAAATATCACTCCTACTTGTAGAGGGCGCCACCTACATATTTTTTAACTTGTTTGAAGAGTAATAACTTTTTTTCCGTACCTGTAAAAAACAACTCAGTAAAAAAAATAATTTAGTAATGGTTCTCGAGATATTTGGAATCGAAATTATCAATATCTGTCATATATATACTCCAGGGTTGTCGCAACTAACGTCGCATCCCCACGCCTAACCGCCACCTGTTACGATCAAGAACATCTTCCTCTTCCAAGTTACGGTCCTCCATTGCCCTTCTGATGGCCTCATTCCAAGATCTTCTAGGCCGTCCTTTTTTCCTTTTTCCAGGAGGTGACCAGCTGTAGATACGGTAGGGCCATCTTTGATGTTCCATGCGTAGCAAGTGTCCAAACCACTTAAGGCCCCTCTGTTCGACTCTATCCACTATTGTCTGTGTGGCATCCATTTTGGCTCTGATTTCCACGTTCCTAACTCTGTCCAGTTTAGATACTTCCGCACTGCGTCTCAAATAGTCCATTTCGAGTGCATTCAAAGCTCGCTTTTGTTCAGCTTTTAAGGTCCAAACTTCACACCCATAAGTTACTACCGACTCCACTAGGGCTCTTCCAATATGTACTTTTGTGTTTGGTCTTATGTTTTTGTCCCACCAGATGCACTCAATATCTGTCATCATTGACATAAATTAAACATTTTGACTAAATAGTTATTACTGAAATCATAAATTTGAAATGTTTTTGTACCAAAAGTTTAACAGAAACTGTTTTATCATTATTCTTTTCGAAGAAAAAAAATATGATTAATTTAAAAAACAAAAAGTTCCCCAATTTCTAATCATTTCAATCAAATAACTATCTACTGAACATATGTTTATTTTTTGTCATTAATGACATTTATTGACTATTTCTATTCTAAATATCTTCAGAACGGTTGTTGGTATATGATGAGCCTTTACAGAATGATAAGTCTTTACAGAAAATTTATTAGTTAGTTACTTATAGTGAGTTACTGATATGATGAGCCTTTACAGAAAATTTATAGACACTTTTTTTTATCTAAATTCTTGCTCTCTTTTTAGGGAACTGTGTTTCGAAGCATGGTCAAGCTTGAGGCGATCTCCGATGTTCGGTTGCATATGTCCAAACAATCACATGAAGAAACGATGCGACAGGATGTTCAGCATGGTCAATCACAATCCCTGCATCGGTAAGTAACACTAGTTTTTGTTAGCTTGGAGGTGTCTCCTATGCTTAGCCAAACAATTTTCCATTAGAACAAGATTCTCTAAATAAATTCTTAAGTTTCTTGTCTATTCAACGTGTAGCGTTGTAAATCTGTTTCAGTGCTGATTAAGTTGCGATACTGTCTAAATTTATACAGGGTATTTCAAAATTGGCTCTCGGAAATGGTAAAAGATACAGAGTGGCTTAGTTGCCTGTTACTTAGCCCAATGATAATCCGTTTAGTAATTGCACTTTGCTTTGTCATATCCCAAAATATGACAGCAAAATTGAAATTTACGCTTTACGTTTTTATTATTCTACTAGAGTTTATTTTGACAGTTAGAAAAAACCTACAAGTACATTCTGAAAGAAATTTTTTTAGCTTTATCATTTCGTGACTTCAAAAAATAATTTAAGGCATTTCCTTTTTCTAGAATCATCATCAACTTTGTTTTTTATATAAAATAAAGTATAAAATATTTAAAGTTTACTTCAGACAAATTATCTGATATAAAATATAACATTAAACAAACTTTTTATTGAATTAAAAAGTTTCTGTTTTTGATATAAGCGAAATAATTCGCAGCTTTATCTTTCATAATCTTTTGTTCAGTTCTTCTCATTTATTAACTTTGGATGTCTGGCATAGGATAATTGAGATAAATTGGTATTTTGTAAGAGACGCATCAAATATTTACGGGGTTTATAAGAGATTTAATATATTTTAAATGAAATACCGTTAAAATGAGTGTAATTTTTTGTTAATAAAAAATAATATCTGTATTTTTGTGCTTAGTTTATTTCTTCGAACTACTGGAAATATAACTACTGTTAATAATTGTGTGTGCACTAAGTCCACATATTTGAAGTGAACTTACTATAGTCTGTCCAACGACAAGATCCTTGACAGTGATAGCTTTCTGTCATTTTAATTTCAAAGTAGTTTATTTTATTTTACAAAGAAATAAGTTGGTACAACTGGAACGCATAGCAGGAAATTAATATATTTAAAATTTGACTGATAATAGATTACTTCAAAATAAGACTGAAAAAATGTAATCGAGTTATTTTATTAAAAAAAACGGTACGTGTTAATACAAAACAAACAAGAACAAAACACCACATACTAAAAAAAATATAAAAAAGAACTATTTCTTACTTTCAAGCTTCAAGAAACTTCCCGCATTTGAAATAAGGTTTGAAACTTCTTACTAACATCTATCAAATTGAAGTATTTGAAAGACATGCTTGAAGAAATGTAGTTTGAAATGTTGAAAAAGTAATAAATTCACAAAATTATTAAATACTTTAATTCACTTTTACAAACATTTAGCACGGTTAGAACCGGAGAAAGTATGCACCCGTTCTATCAAGGACCTGCACAAGTATATAGGTGCAAGGCACAGTGATAGGGAGGATGGGTGCAGATATAGAATAGGAACAGATACAGTAGGCCTTATAAGGTGCAGTAATTCCCTTAATATTGAGAAAAAAAAACATAAGGTTGACAGTAATAACAGCCATTTATTTTGAAAGAAATTCGAAACTAAGTTAATTAGAATTTATATTCAGTTTGCGTAAACTTTCGCGTCGGAAATATTCGAAAAAGTTCTAATGGAATAACGGAAAACATCCATAGAAAAAGAGGAGCTTAATGAAGTTCAATGGATCGAAGGTCGATAGCCATTAAAGCGGAGAGACCGAATTGCGTAATGAAATAATGACTTTTGGGACGAGTTCGCGAAGTTGCAAGTAATTTACAGCTTAAAATCGCGTCATTTCTTTATTGTCCGGTATTTTTAAAACGTTAAAAGCCGTAAAAAGTAATAGTATTATTTTTTACAATATAAAAATGCCATCTTAAGTGCTAGCCATAAAAGTATAGCACTTTTACAGCTAAGTACAAAACTACAAAAATATATGATTAACCATTGACATTGTAGATTGTATGGGAGGGTGGAAATTAATCACTGCAGTCTTATAGATATATTGTGTCTCATTTCTTGAGTTATACCTCATCGTACAGTTTTGGGGCTTTGACAGAAGCCAGTCTCTAAAACGGTTTTACAGAGATATTAGCGATCAACAGTGCTTTCCATAAAATCAATAAAATGACAAATATACGAAATAATATGCATGTACTGATTTCTTTCGAAAATCGACCACTATGAAACTATAAACTCTTCCTGAACACAAACGGTACATTGTGAGACAGAAAATTGTAGAGAGAAACAAGCCCTATAACATAGGATACAACATTTTAATGAACAGTGCTTTCCATAAAATCAATAAAATGAAAAATCGACGAAATAATATGCATGTACTGATTTCGTTTGAAAATCAACAACTATGAAACTATGAACTTTTCCTGGATACAAACGGTACACTGTGAGACAGGAAATTGTAGAGAGAAACTTAATGAAGTTCAATGGAAATTGAACTTTATTAAGTTTCTCTTCATCTATAACATAGGATACAACATTTTAATGAACAGTGCTTTCCATAAAATCAATAAAAGGAAAAATATACGAAATAATATGCATGTAAGATTTCTTTCGAAAATCGATAACTATGAAACTATGAATTCTTCCTAGACACAAACGGTACATTCTGAGACAGAAAATTGTAGTGACAAACAAGCCCTATAACATAGGATACAACATTTTAATGAACAGTGCTTTCCATAAAATCAATAAAATGGAAAATATACGAAATAATATGCATGTACTGATTTCTTTCGAAAATCGACAACTATGAAACTATGAACTCTTCCTGGACACAAACGGTACATTCTGAGACAGAAAATTGTAGAGAGAAACAAGCCCTATAACATAGGATACAACATTTTAATGAACAGTGCTTTCCATATAATCAATAAAATGCATCTCCGATATCAGTCATACCAAGGTTTGCGGCACGAATGCTTGTCGTATCGGTGCACTCAGTGATGAGGTGTTCTGGTGTTTCTTAGCTCCAGTTCACTGAGGCATTCATTGAGGAGGCAGTGTCCTGTTAACCAAACCCCGTGACAATTCTTACTTAAAACAATAAAAATCTTATATTGTTCGCGGAGATAAGTCCTGGAAAATTTTTTCGAGTATCTTAAACCGTTGTAGAAAATTCCCATTCTAAATAAATTACTAACTACTAGTTTTATTAAGGACAGGTGGTTGAAACTCGGTTCAGGATGAGGTCGGATAAATCAAGTTCAAAATTTTGATAAGTGGTCAATGACTTCTTATGGTAAAGAAAATAAAGTCCTCCTACTCTGGGTGCCTGCGCACAAAGGGATAGAAGTCAATGAAAAAGCAAACGGTCTAGTTGGGAAAAGAGCGAACACTCCACTAACTGGACCAGAACCGTTCTGTTTTCCAAACGGGAACCAACTGAAATCGGAATTGAAGAATCTGGAAGACTCCATCCGTAACTTGGAATGTGTGTCCTTCAACGGTCTAAGATACTTGAAAAAGTTCTTCAGATCTTACGACCGAGAAAAATAAAGGTTTTCCTTGATTTAAGTAAAAACAATCTTCGGATTGTCACGGGGTTTCTAAAAGGACACTGTCTCCTCAACGAATACCTCAGTAGGCGGAAGCTGAGAAACAACGGCAAATGCAGATTCTGTGGGGAAAATGGGGAAACGAGGATGGAGAGCTGGCCTCTGTGGATCCGTCTCAGATACTGGCTTTTGTTAAAGCCCTGAGACTGTATGATGAGTTATAACTCGTTATAAGTCAAGAAAGGGGAACACACAATTATCGCTTTTTTTTTCGAGACTTAAACTGGGCTTTAATCATATCACGATCTTATACTACGAGAAAACATATCTAAATACAACTCTCCAGTTCACAGTTTTTCCCATTTCACATCAACGCTAGTTTAATAATAATTATACCTTTATTCATAGCTATATGGAGATACATTATGAAAGGACGAAAGTGCAGTCTTGTTAGTAAATGTAACCAGACTGTTTTTACATCCAAAAAAGAAAAAAATATATTTACATATACATACACACATTTTATAAATAAAAATCTATACTAAAATAATTATTAAATTATTATCTACCATTGCGAAAATCTGATAAACAAAAATTATATTTTTTTCGACATTAATGTAATAACATTGCTTAATAGTTCTAATAGTATAATTATTATACCTAATGCAATAACATAATTTGCTATCAATCCTGCTCATACATAATTAAACAATTTAAATTTAATGCATAATAAGGGCTAGTTTATCTGTGAGAGATGTCCTTTTAATAATTTTCTGAATACATATTATAGTGGAGTTGCAGATGTTTTCGTACGAGGTAATGAGTTAAATATCTTGACTCTATTATATGAGAAGGAACGCTTGAAAATTGTTAATCTATAGGTAGGAAAACTGGGATAACCTTTAAATCTTAAATTTAGGTTGTAAACATCTTATCTACATTCTTTTCATATCAAGCCATCCTACTTCTTTTAGCTTATACGATACTGATTGTTATCTTTTAACTCCGTAAGTAAAACGTAAACAATATTTTTGGATTTTTTGTATTGGTCTCGAATCAAAAGCGGTATGGCAAGGTCCATAAAGTACATTACAATAATTAAATTTTGGTAAAACGAGATTATTACACTCTTTTAACAGGCACTTTACTCTATATGTGTACAACCTGGCCCGAGGGGTGTCTCACTATTGGAATTACCTGTACATTTTCTTGGCAGTTGCTGGCAGTCATTGGCAGTCTTATGGCAGTCGCCTATAATAATTACATTGCAGTCATAGGCAGTCTTCTTCATAGTCACTGGCAGTCGCTTAGCAGTGAAGGATATTTCGGCAGTACGTGTACATTTTTTACCCGAGTGAGACAACCCTCGACCTGGCCTAAGTAACACAGGTGGTAAATTTAGTAAGAAACGGTAGATCATGTCGTCAAAAATTATGAATAAGATTACATCAGAATTTTTGTTTCCTACGTTGTTTATGATTTTTTTTGTTTC